AACAATATTTAGAATTTGCCACCAATATCTTGAATTCTAGAAGGAAAAAGATAGAGATATACTCACTATGACATATGACCACTGTTACATAAAGCTATGGATACAAAGGAGAGATGCTTCCAGGAACAACTGCAGAGGGAGTAGGCTCAGATAAAACCCTCCCGACAAGCTTCACAGGAGAAAGACACATTTGAGTTTATCAGGCAGAGTTTTTCAGTCAACACACAAGTTCCAACCAAGGACCAAAACCAAAGATAATAGTGAGATAAATAAATATGAACCCTGATAGAACATTTTTTTGAGATGCATAAGGCATCCTGTTAACAAAAAATGAGGATGGGAGGTATTGTCAGGCAGTGAAGAGGCAGGAAGAAACACTCCAGGGAAGAGGGATAGCCTCCGCTGGGCTCTCTGCTGTGAGAGGCTTCCTAATGGAGAGCATTGTTTGCCTGAAGCATTGATTCGTAAATGGGGTCACAGTTTCTTGGGTTCAGTCAAGTAGGTCAGCAGAGCAGAGAAGGCGGGATCTAGTTCTTGGGCAGTGAATAACGTTTATCTGGTAAAGAAGGCAGAAGAAATATCAGAGGCATGTCCCTAGGCTCAATAGTAGCTAGCTTCCTTGAGTAACTCCTTAAGTACGTGGTATAGTGAGAAAACACCAGGAAATAAGAACAATAGCTTGAGACCACTTAGAGAACTTGAAGGCCAGCACTGGAATTTAGACTATAGCAGCTGGGTAAATTTACAGGAAAATAATGATTCTGCTATTTACTAGCCCTAGAAAGGTGGGCTAGTAATTAGGCTAACCACTTTAAGCTTCAATTACTTCATCTAGAAAATTGAGATGGTGATACTTATCTATCAGAGTACTTCTGAGTGTAATGTATGAAAAAATGTTTTTTTAAATCTAAACTGCTGTGCCTGTATACAAAATGATCTTTGACTGGGCAAGGGCCATGATCCTAGCTGTATTTATTTATTTGCTTTTTTTTTATTTTATATATATATATTTTTGAGATGAAGTCTCGCTCTGTTGCCCAGGCTGGAGTGTAATGGCATGGTCTCGGCACACTGCAACCTCCACCTCCTAGGTTCAAGTGATTCTCCCACCTTAGCATCCCAAGTAGCAGGGACTACATCCACAAGCCACCAGGCCCAGCTAATTTTTTTGTATTTTTAGTAGAGACAGGGTTTCACAATGTTGGCCAGGCTGGTTTCGAATTTGTGACCTCAGGTGATCCACCCACCTCAGCCTCCCAAAGTGCTGGGATTACAGGTGTCAGCCACAGCACCCAGCCTCCTAGCGGTATTTAGGAGGATGCTTCTGGCCGTTAGACAGAGGATAGTATAGATGAAGAAATACTAGAGCAGAGAGCACCATTAGGAAGTACATTACCGAAGAGGGAAAGAAGAAGATGGATGAACCAACTGTGAAGGTAGAATTGACAGAAGTTGACAGTGGAAATAAGGGAGAGAAAAGGAGCAAAGGGTAACATTAAAGTTTGGAAAATGATGGAATGAGGGTGGGGAGAGAGGATAACAAGCTCCTTGTAAGCACAATTAACAATGCATAAAGTGAGGTGAGGATTTAAAAGCAATTACGACTCTTGTCCCCAGAGCAGTTAATATACGTGGTACAGAACACTGCACTGTATTCAAATGCCAGCCTGCCATGTGGGCACATTACATAATCTCTTTGGGTCTCAATTTTCTCATCTGCAATTTGGTTCTCCTTCATATTATTGAAAATTAAATGAAGAACTATTAATATATATAAGGTACTTGGAAGAGCCTCTGGATCATGTTCTTACTTTATGCAAGCTATACAACTAACTCTGTCCTCACCATCACCGCTTCCTCCAATCAGAAAGTATTTATCTTTGTGGAATGCAGACTGTATTAGGAGTAACACAGGTTGGGCATGGTGGCTTATGCTTGTAACCCCAGCACTTTGGGAGACCGAGGCAGGTAGATTGCTGGAGCCCAGGAGTTTGAGACCAGCGTGAAACACCGTCTCCACAAGAAATACAAAAATTAGCTGGGTGTGGTGATGTGTGCCTGTAGTCACAGCTACTTGGGAGGCTGAAGTTGGAGGATTGCTTGAGCCTAGGAGGCAGAGGTTGCAGTGAGCTGAGATCACACCACTGCACTCCCTGGGTAACACAGCAAGACCCTGTCTCAGAAAAAAAAAGAGTCAAGAGCAAAAGTTTCTGTGTGTCTGCTCTACAGCCTGCCTGGTGCAATACACAGGAAGTATCAGTGTCAGTGTGCTTTTCTCAGTTTTCTGATAAAGGAGGTGCTCTGATTTGGGGCAAGAAAAATAACTATAAGATCACCTGAGTAGTCTTTATAAGCTACAAGTAAATCAGGATCATAGGCAGAGCATGTTTCCTGGATGCAAGTTTTGGTCTGTCCACTAAATGGCCTATCAGGTCAGGCTCAGCAAAAGGTTGCTAACCTTTCTTGCAGGTGATGAACTCACCACCTTCCAATGTCACAGGCCTCATCACTCTCTCACTCCCATGATCTTGCCCTCTAAGATACAGTTCTGTATTTCCTGGCTGATCTGTTATGAGTCACTGAGGAGTGAATGGCTGGAGTTGCTAAGATAAGATAATGGCCTTTTATGTGCAGACACTGTGAATTCTTCTCCACCCCTTGTACAGGGAAGACAGTTTAAGTGGAATGGAATAAATTGCTGGATTTAATACACTGACCAAACACAAAAGCCTAATAAAAATGTCAGAAGTACATGCTCTCGAATGGCAAAGAGCTGTGGAAGCTCACTAAATGATGTAAGCTGTCCCTTAGCAACCTATGTAAAGACACAAAATGATGAGACTAAACTGTCTGCCTCAGTTGTTTCCTACTATATTACCGATTTCAACTTTGTAGTAATTTTGTAGTCATATTGTTTCATTTGCAAATTAAGCAAAACAAAATCTCTCACACACACAGATGCATAAAAATATTGGGAAAGAACTGACAAATAATACAAAAGGTCTTGTAGGACAGGCCTTTCTCCAGGCTTTCATAAGCAGAATTAACATATTACAGCGAAGAAATTGGTACAAAAAGTCACCTAGGCCTAAGGGCTTAGATACAGTGACTGAACAAGTTTACTGATTGCTCTTCTTTTTAAACTTAAACACTACCAAGAAAGAACATATGCAAAGATATTAAAAAGATAATGCTTCAAATGCTGACTTTCGCTTATTTACCGTGAAGGGTGATTCCGTGGGTCCTTTGTACTCCCTACTCTTTTCCTTCAGCCTACGAAAATATTTGAGCACCCAGCGCATGTGAATAGTGCTCTATGGTGAACAGAGTTGCATATATATGTCCACGCCCTCACAGAATGCACAGCCTATGGAAGGGATTTTGTTAGTAGGCCAATAACGACAATATAAGAATTAACAGCTTCTATCATATGCAGACTTAACCAAAGCAGCACATTCCTAAGTCCCTAAGCTAGTGGTTTATGGATTCATTATGATAAAAAGTAGGTGAAAACATCTGCATATGGGAAGGTGTCTATCATTTGGTACTGCACAGCCACACAAGGAAAGGGGCACCACCCCCCAGGTAGGGTGGCGGCACTCTCTCAATGGCAGTATATTGCCCACCTCTTAAACACTGGAGCTAGGATTCAAATTCTGGCAGGTTGTTGCTAGGCCCTCATTCACTCACTCAACCTGTATTTCTTGTACATCTGCTGTTACTGTCTGTGTTCACAATGCTTCTACATTAATTGGAAGTGACAGACAACAACATAAGCAAAATATATACTATGATACATACATGGTATAGAAACCAAAGGAGAAGAATACACCAGGGAAGGGGAATGGGAGGGTTCAAGTGCTCTGCTTCTTTAAGAAGAGGGAGCCCAAACTAATTAAAAATAGATCTTTAGGCACAGTAAAATCTAAGGATTAAGTGTGTGTGCAAATACTGGGTATAATTTGAAGTAAATTATTTATATTAAGTTTATTTGATATTAAGCTTTGAAATAGTTGGGTTTGAGTCATACTCTAATTTTATGTTTCTGTTTTCTTTTATATCTTTTCTCTAATTATTAACTATAAATAAAAATTGGTGGCCCCAAAGCAACATACTAGGGGGCTCTGAGAGATAGGACAGTAAATTCCAGTAATGATTAATACTAAGTGTCCTGGTAAGAGGCAACATTCAGATGCCTTTGGAGAATTATAAGCATTTCTTCCATTTGTTTTATTCCTGTATCTAAACCCTCATATCTAAGTTATTTTGTCTTCAAATACTGGAAAGATTGGTCTTGGCAAAAATACTAAACAAATTAGTTTTGCAATGACTTCCAAGTCCACCAATCATGTACAAATTGTACATGAAAAGCTTTTGGCTACAACACCTTCTCCATAGAGTGAGAAAGACTCCTGCAAGTTCACACCAGCTTAGATGATGCACACCTCACTGTGTTACTAAAGAGCGCTGTGCACAGCAGGTGTTCCACAAAGGACTTCTGGTGCTTCAATTGGCTGAGGCAGGAAAGAGAGAGAGAGTTAAGCTATAAAATGTTAAAGTCCTTAAAACAGTTGAATGGCTGTGTGTGTGTATGTGCACACGTGCACATACACAAGAAACACACACACACAAACACCTAAAGCAAATAGTGGTGCTAAGTTAATGAAATTGTTATAAAATATTCTAAGTTTTTCTGTTTTTCAAGGTTGCAACAGAATGCCAAAGTTCGTCTCCAAAGATGGATAGAAAAGAATAGATCTATTAAGCGAATGGCCTATTAAGACTCTTATACATGACAACATTGGTACGAGAAAAATAATGATATATGTCAACCCCATAGGTCTTAAATTGTCTTTATTAAAATCTCAATCGGAAGTAATAAAAGTAACTATTCTTTGGAAAAGCTAAAGGCTGGCTTTGCTCTCTGGATTAACGAGAATAAGTAGTAATAGTTAAGAAAGAAGAGGGACCTTTATAGTCAAATAACTTTGAAAAACAAATTTTAAAAGATTAAACAGATTTATTTATTGCCGTATGCTTTTAAGATGAATACACAAGTGTACACTGTAACCACCATAGGTGATGTGACTTTCATTATTTCCCAACACATTTGACCACAGCACACTTTTTTCGAATCACTGGAGAGCACACTGTAGACATCACTTCTTTGAAATCTAATATAAAATTAGTATGGTAATAAATAAAAGATATTGGAACAATATATTATTGAGAATTGGGCATAAGAACTATCCTTTTAAAAATCTAAAACTGAATCATACTATTAAACAACAACAACAACCAAAGTGAGTATCTTGTAATAGACATCACAGTGATGATTGGAGGTGAAATATTTATTTGGAAATAACAAAACTTTTTATCAAAACATGTTTACTCACACTTGAATAGTGTTCTTCAACTCAGGTAACTTAATTTAGAAAACAGAAATATCTGGACTCTAATGTTGTTTTAAACCACTTTTCTCCTTTTAAATCAGACTATGGCTTCTAAATGGGAAAGGATTGAAGAATAACATTTGTCCATCCGAATAAGATTGAATTATATTTATAGTTCATTATTACCCCTCTGTCACATTTACTTAATGTTCTTCATCTGATTTTGATTGAGTTTCCCATTTTAGAGCAACAGAATGTTATCTGATGAATCAGAAAAGAACGAAATATAATGTGGATAACAGCAATGCCTGTATGTCGTGCTTCACTGGGGGATTGACAAGAACTAAGGAAAAATTCTTTTCCAACCTCGTTAGGTGAAAACTCTTGCCCTGAAATATGATGATGGATATACTTTGTGATTTTTAACATAATTATTGTAGCTACAAGCATTATTCTTGTTCATACAACATTGCTTTTTCAAACGTATTATTTGCTGCAGTAATTTCCCAAGTCAACTAAATTCCAAGGGATTACATGGTGGGTGGGGAGGGGAGAAAAGGTATTTCCTTTTATCAAATGTAACTATGTTGCTTTCTCATTCCCTCACGTTCCTGTGTAATAAAAGAAGAATTCAGGGTGGTCACTTGGAGTACCTGATTAACAACTTTCCTTGAAACTATTCATTAGGTGTGGAATTCATTCCCCTTCAAGAGAGGGAAAGAAAACCCACACCAACTCAGAGAGAAGCTTTCCTCTTAGAAACAGACTCCAGATTCCTTTGCCTTCAGGGTATTCAGGTTCCACACATTCTGTTATCCTCAAAAGGTCAGGAAAATTAATTGTCCAGGGTGCACAATGTATTTCCTAGGGAGAATTACAGAAAATGATGGTCCCTGTTTCCAACCAATTACAAAAAGATTATAACACAAATATGAATATATAAACCTTTATTAACCAAACCCATTAAATTCTCTTCATTTGCTTTAATTTTTAAATTATTTCTTCATGTTACCACTAGTGATGTTTGAGAGACAGGTGATTATTAAAACTAATTCAGTTGTATACCACTTACCTCATATTGAGAGATTATCAAGTATCAAGATAACTACTTAATAAGGCATAAACATCAAATTTCCTTTAATCATTTTTTAACCTAAGCTTTTAAACAATTCACATTTAATAGCAAAGCCATTCAAAATGTAAGCTAATAGGAGAGAGAATAATCTCAAATCAGTTATCCACAACCTAATTATCTAATTCCTGGTTTATTACCATGAATAATTCCACCATTGTGAAGAGTTCTCTGTAAATTTTTGAAAAACAGGTAGAATACATCTTAGATATATTTTGATCTCCTTCCTTTCCCTCAATTATTTTCAAATATTCCCTAGAGGCATGTAGGCCTTCTGCTAAATTCTGGTAATATGATGGTAAATACATTGGGCATGTCTATCCCTTATCTGACTTACTAAATACTTACATATAATCAAAGAAACACATCTTCAAAAAGAAAGTGAGTACCTTTGCTCAGCATCTGCAGCCAATGATCAGCAGAACTATGAATATAACTAGTAAAAACCCTTTGACTTCTGATCCTGTGCTTTTTCCAGACCCCAACAGATATCATCCCAAATTCAATCTATTGGTAGTGTCTTTATCTGGTTTAATTTCTCACTATTCCATCAAAAGGGTATTTATTAGCCAACCTCCATTGTACTACATGCTACATGTGAAACAAAGACAAATATAAGACAGGAATCTTGGCAAAGTTAATACACATGTTATAATTAAAAAATTATATGTGACAACACATTATATGAGACAGGAAACAGTGACACAGTTTTAATGATAAAAGGAAGCAAAAAAAAGTAAAAGTACATACCACTTACTATATGCCAAGTACCATAGTAAGCTCAGTTCATTTAGGAAATAATTTATTCCACATAACACTTCCATAAGAAACATAATCCTAGCATCCTCATTTTACACAAGGGGAAACTGAGACACTTGGCATGTAATTGAGTGACATTTTCAAGATGACATATTCAGTGACTCAAACCCAGGCAGCCTGAATCAACCGTATGTATCACATTATAATGTACCATAGAATCAACAGTCTGTACCATATTATAATGAATGATCATGTGGAGGTAACTAAAACCACTGAGAAAGCTTTAATAGAGGAGGTGAGGCCTATTTAAGGAGGAAGGAGGAACGAAAGAAGTCCAGAAATATGTTGGGAATTCCAGGCAGCAACAGGAAAATCTGCTTGCTTGAAATGCCTCAGATGTGCTGTGATAGCATGATGATGCTGAAGAGGTCATACAGAACCAGATTATGGTGGGTCATGAAAGTCAAGTGAAAGAGTATGGTATAAAGCGGAGGTTAATTTTAGCTAATCACTGCCAAGTACAATACAGAGTATTTTTAGATATCTTATTTTCCAACCTCAATACATGAAATGGCTTAGAGTAACTATCAAATATATTTGTTAGCGCAGATTGTATTTAGAAGTTACGCCTATTTTTATGAAAGGCAAGCCTGGAGAGTTTATCTAAAATAAATACTGAAATATTTATTTTTAGTTACTGAGCAGAGATTTCAAAAAACTAATGTATGAAATTTTAACACTGACATTCTCTGTATAAAAGCACAGCATTGACTTTCTTAGCATAAAAGCAATACATTTATCTATGTTAAATAGAATTTCCTATAATTTCCCTAAATACTTGTTCGTCCACTTTGTGTTTCTTGAGCACTCAGTATGCCCAACTCCCACTTCCCCCTGCACACCCACCACCCCATATCACCTGATTGGCTTGGAATGTCAGTTGGTATAATGAACTATAACATTTAAAATACACTGGCTATGCATTATATTAAATAAACAGGTTTCGTTACTCTATTGCTCTCCTTTCACTCTTTTATAATTCTGGGCATTATTTTTTTTTTAATCTTGCAACTAACTCAACCAGAAGATGGGTGCTTATGTAAAGCAGAGAAAATGTAAAGCAATATTCCTATTTATGGGTTTTGTGAGTAGAAGTTGGATAGAGAAGTAGCTTTGAGAAGAAAAAGATCAACGTGTGTTAAAAAAATGAGGAAACTTGCAGAAAGGCTGAAACTTGATAGAAGTAGAGCATATAACATCATACAAAGTGCCTAAATAATGCTTAGTAGTGTTTTGCAAGTGAGGATATAATTCTAAGTTAAAAGCAGGGCTTTTTATTAAGAGATTTTAACAGCATTCCATCTTCCAAGCACGTCTTTATCAGGAATAATACAGACAGTGGATTTTATTCTGAGCCATTTGAATTTAAACAACAGCAACAAAAATGGATAAGCATTTCTGTTTCAGTATGAATATAAACAGTATATTTAGAAAAAAACTACATCATAATGATTTGTTTATTTCTGAAAAAATTAAGAAATATTTTACTTTAATAGCATGTAAACTGGTAAATTTTTTTTAAGTTTCATATATTTGGGCATAAAGCTTCTTATCCCGATAAAATGAGAAAAAAAGATATAAATTTTAGAAATAGTTTTAGAAAAGTATCTTTAAAGTGTTACTAACTATGCAGCTACTCTTGAAAGTGCATATTATATTTTCCAGTTGTTATCACTCTGCCTCAGACCATTTCTTTTTGATTAACTCTCTCATAAAAGAGCAAGAGTAAATAACAGTATTTTACAATGTCTAATCTTGTAGTTATTTCTAATTAAGTGAATCTGAATTTTCATATTAATGACATTATTCTTCCCTATTTTGTATATATAAACCTCTTTCATCATGAAGTAACTATATCCAAATTAATGATAAAAATAATATAATTATGATGTAACTCTTATCAATAGAATATGCTTGCATATAAATACCTACATTGAGACAGATTCTAAACAATGTAACTACAGTGGTAGTTTGACAGATGCAAAATGTTTAAATCAGTATTCTAAACATTTTAAACTTCTTAAGAGAAACTAATAACTTCAAATGTTTTACCATATAAAACGTATCATGTAAATTCAATAATATTTTTATACTGTTTACACAAAAGCAGTGTTCAATTAAGATATATTTGAATATATTAGTCTAGAAACTTAGAATACCAGATTTAAAATTTAATTTAAATTAATATTTTAGATAAAAAGGGTCAAGGTTAAACTGTTTGTCTTCCTTAAAAAGTTTATAATGTCTTTTGTGTTTTTACTTACAAAAAAAAATCTCAATGAAACTTGGATATTAAAACCTCCCAGGAAACCAACAATAAAAGCTGCTAAGAATTTCACAAGTTTTTTTTCCCTTAGGTGTTAATTAAATGATCATTTAACACTGAAATGTAAACACAACATTTTCATCTCCTGACAGCACAGCCTATTATAAATCCAGGGTAATAAAAGTCTTGGTGTTAATGCTCTGAACCAAGTTCCCACAACACTCTAAGATGCCTTGTCGTGTCTAAGGTTAAGCATCTAGACACAAAAACAAAGCTTGCGCCTACTCGACTTCCAGTCCAATTTTCCCATCGCCCAGTGACCTAGGTAACACTTTGAGCAATAAAGAATAAATTTAATTTCTCCAGCATTTTGTGAGGATTAGGAACAATTGTTGGCTTGCAATGACTTTTTATCCTTGGATTCTTTTTCCTCCAGAGCATTCCTCCGGTCCTAAAAGAGAATTCTGATGGTTTAAGACACAGAACAAACAGAACTTTAAATTAGGCTTTTTTCAATCAATTGGAACTGTCGGAGGGGAAGCAATCAACCTTTCTCTGTGCTGTTCTCAGCTATTCACATACTTCGAGCTTTAATCTTTCACTAGAAGAAGAAACCTATCGTGATGGAGCAAAGCTATTTTTTCCCATTCTGTTTCCAGACTCATTTATTTCTCTTTTAAGTTTTTTTTTTAACACTTAAATCAAGTTACCATACTTGGCTGTAAACTTTCATTTGAGGGATGTTTCAAGAGACACAGATGTTCTCTTAATAACGTTTCACACCTCTATGCTGTACCCTAGGCCATGGGTGTTGCCAAGGACTGGTCTTTTTACTCTCCATTGCTTACTTTTCTAAGATTAATTTCTTTTAATTCGTTCATCCAAAGGTTTCTTATATCGAAAATTATCAAATATTGTAAGGTTAACCCTCCATAAAAAATTGAGTGATTGTAATCACGGAGTATAACTCAGTTACAGGTAATATGTAATGAATGATACACTCTGTGTCTAACTATAATGCTGTCTACTTTGAGAAGCACTGGAATTGTGGAAAAAAAAAAAAACACCAATGTAAAACAAAATGACTTCTGGTTCAAACTTGTTTCATCATGTAACATTGCTTCAATTTAAAAGTGCTAAAAGATTTGCAGATTTTTACTGGATTTTGACATAATTAGTCGTCTAAAAATACATTTAAAATCACCTATACAATGTTCCATAGATCAAATCATATGTACATATTACAAGGCTAACAGATTAAGCTTCTATTATCTTAAAAACGAAATTTTTATTAGTACTTAAAATGTTCCTTTGCAACATATGTAAATCTTTTGAACAACTTTCAGCACACTTTACCTATAGTTTAAGGAGTTCACTCAGCATTTTCTGAGCTTTGTATTTTTCCTTTGTCACTCAGAAAAACACATAATTAAAACAGCAATCTAAATATATACACTAACATAAATAGTTCCTGAGTCACAGTCTTTTTGTTTCTTTCTCTAATTTATTTTGCAGATGAACTTTAAAACTATATGAATCATCAACTTAAAGAAATCTCATTAAGAATATCCTGGCCCTAATGTACCTTCTACAGCCAAGTAAAGAGAAATAACTTGGTACAAAAGCATATTTCATGTCAATTTGCAGTGGTAAGAAAATTAATGTGACTACACATATTTATGTGTTATTACAGTAATGATAAATGCAAGAGGGCCGTGCAATAGAATCAAGAACTTTGCTGAATGAGGGCAAGTTGCAAGGACATCTGAGTGACTATTATGTCCATCTTGCTTGCAATGAAAGGATGACAATAGTACAAATATAATTCTGTAACTTTTGAATGTGGAATTTAAATTTTACTGTGCTTTCCTAGAAGGTAAACAGCATGATCCTTCCCATGTTATAGATATGAAAACTCGATAATAGGGGTGTCTACTGACTTCAAAGGTAACAGAACAGCAAGTATCTGGGTAGACATTCAAACACTGTCATTTTACACCACCTCCCTTAAAATATAAATTAAATTGATTTCAGTATCTTAAAACATAAGGTAAATACATTCAAATTACCTAAATATAACTAAAACCTTAACCCTTATTCCTAGAAATAATATTTATGTAAATTTCAGTCCCAAAGATCATAACCATGAGATTGTAGTGGCAATTACATTATTTACAAACTTTATTATCTGATGATGTGTATATAATTTTTACATGAACGTGATATACTTAAATTCACAGATTTGATCACCCCCAATGAACTCTCTAGGCATTAATTTACATAGTATAGGTCAGATGTTAGCAACAGCTGAGGCCCACAAACATCACATATTTTATGGAGCCACATATTTTGTTAGTTCCCTCCTGAGCATGGATCACAGTATTCTACAAATTCAAGTTGGCAGACCATGAGTACTTGTTGGTGGGGTTAGAAACATTTGCATTTGTGAAAGCAGCCATTTAAATAAGTACAGCTGAGTGAGAAAAACCTTCTTGCACTTGATTTTGTTCTACTATGAGCTGTGCTGTGGATTGCACACTCAGAGGGTCCACTCTGTGTGCTGGCAACAGCAGAAACCCGACAATTGCTGGCTTTCTTTAGTAACAAGTCTATTAGTAATCCCTTTGAAGTAAAAACCATCAACACTAGATCTGGCAAAATCTCAAATATAATCTTAATCTTCATTGGATTTAGAATGCTTAAGTCATAGGATTACAAGTTGATTTAAAAAATAAAAGTAAAAGTAGGTCCTGTTCAGGGCTCTGCACTTTTATTTCTTTCATGAGGAGTGGTAATAGCTACTCTGAGCTTTGTTCAGATAACCATATATCAAGTCTGTTGTTTACCTCTTTAAAAATAAGGTTTTGGTTATCTAGTGTTACCAAAAATTATAAATTTTTAATTTTTAAAAAATTTATTTTAAAAAATTTCTTTTCAAATGAAATACTCCTTGTATGTCTCTATTTTTTTAAGTGGCAAAAACAGAGTCCCTGGGGCCCAATAAGTAATTATTAAGTTACCTAAGTAATAAAGGACTTGGTGTTTTAATCACTGAAAGTGAACACTTAGTTCTAAGTTTTATCTCTCTTGATACAAAGTCAATCTGTTCCCCTTAGCAAAGTATCAGTATATAATTCAGATAGTGTGTTCTTACACCAAATTAGAACACTGACGCCACCTTCGACCCTTCGACGGAACTTTCATCCTCAGCACATGAAGCTCTTTGGCAGTCTCAGCAACAGAAATCAGCGGTAGCTATCATGGCAGCGCGCTGGATGAGTAATGATGTCGGTCTGGCTGAACAACAGTAACCGTAGCAACTGTAACCTGCAATTCCTGCACAACCACTGTCGGATTTATTGTGGCAGGGGCCAAACAGGCCAAGAGTAAAATGAAGCAGGAAACTATGGCACCTGACACCTCTAGTAGCCCACACTTTAATCAGAGCTGGCAGAAATTAATTCAAGAGAAATTTGTACACAGGCTCTGCTGTTGTATTCTACTTTTATGGTTGACTCCAGGAAACCTATGAGGCTAAATCGACATCCAAGAACTAGGGAGTTAGTTTTATATAAGTATAACATTTTATTAAATTAAGGTATATTTCACTTATGTGAAAAATGGATCATTTTGATTGTGTTGTGTCTACTAAAACCCTTCAATGCTTAGGAAACCTAGGGGGATCAAACATTTAATTGAGCAAGTTATCCTTTAAATTTAATTTGGTTCTCCACTATTTATAATGCCATTGCAGAGATACTATTTGCCCATTCAAGTTACAAACCCTGAGCCCAACAGAGATATAATTCAATACATCAAACACGTAGTGAGAGCTTCTAAAGGTCAAGCCTTATGCTAGACCCTGGAGATATTTAAAAAAAAAATTTTTCATAATACACATCTAACTAGCATTTACATGCATAATCATAAGTATAATTCTAAGATAATTATTGATATGTATCATAATGGCTGTATCTGCGTGGTGAGATAACAGGTAATTTCTACTTCCTATTTTCTATTTTTTTCTTATCTTTCTGAATCATTTTTACAATGAGCATGCATTGCTTTTATAACTATTAAAGAAACAAAGACTAAAGTTCCTTCTATGGTAGTGTTGGAAAGGAAAATAAAGACAATTTAATTATATATTTGTTATGCTTCACAAATTATTGCCTTAATAAAAAATTAAGTTTTCTTCTTTAGAAAGTCCCAATTATTATAGTTACCAAAAACAATTTTGAGAATCTGAGATCCTATCTGACAGATAATGAGTTATGACCCGGCCAATGAAATTAAGCAGTCAAAATCTATTTGTCTCAGGTAAGTATTCACTAGGCCATAAAGAGAGTCCTTGGCCTTAAAAATACCATTCCTAATGTTAGATAATTTAGTCGCTCCAAACAGCACTGGGGAATAATGAATGGCATTTGAGAACCAGAAATAAAAATTTTTATTCAAAGAGGTAGTGAAAATCAGTCACTGGGACATATGCAGTTATTTTTATTTGTTTGTTTAGTTTTGGTATGGTTTGGCAGACATAAGTGAAAAATGGGTTTTTATAAAGTGCTTTGGATACTTAAGCTTATGTTAGAAGGCTCAGTAAATATAATGTACTCAAAGAAATAAACCAAAAACCACAAAACAAATATTTATAACCAAAGGCCTAACCGCAGTACTACCAATGAAATTCCTCTCTAATGAGCCCAGATTAGTAGTCGCAAACTCATCAGAAAGTGTGAATCAGTTACTCCGAAGCCTCTTTTCAGGTTCACTTATCAGGAAGATTTGTACACCGTACTCATAAATTTCAATCAATCGTAATCAACTATTTCAGAATTTACTGCAATCTCTTCTTCAGTTAACCAGCTCCACATTTCTTTAAAAATAATTTTCTCTACTCTTAGATTCATATTAAAAATGCAACCTTGATTTTGGAGGAGGAAAGGGGAAGACAGAGTCTCCCTGAGTTAAGAAAACTTCATGCTGGCATTTTTTTTTTTTTTTTTACCTCTAACCTATCGTCCCTTATTTTAGTTTCCCTTTACTTACACTTTCCATCTGTCAACAAGTGCTTGTAATTTTATTACACTGTCCTGTAGTTTATGCAGAGTTGGTATTATTTTACAGAGTTCTGTTAATGGACTGGATAAATGGCAATGCTATTTAAACTAGTCTCCTACTCCAACAAACACAGCTGCAACTGTACTACTATTTCTGAGCAAACATCTTGACCTGAACATGTAGTGCTCTCTCAACCCGTCCAAAGAGAAATTGGAGCAGACAGCAAAGGAAAAGCATATTTGACCGCTAGCAGCAACCAAGCGTGTCGAATCATAATTCATATACGATACACCCTCCTTTTATTATATATTGCACTTAGAGTCCATGAAAAGCATGTGTGTTTCTTCCCCTGGCATCTTATTTTCAGCCAGTAGTCAAACAGTGATTATTTATTCCAAAGCTCAAAGCAACGCAATGTCCAAACTAGCTTTAATCTAAGCAAACAACACTAAAAATCAAACTTCAGTGTATAAACTATGTATTAAACTGGTAAACTCTTTTCATTAGCGATATATCTGGGAAAACATAGTATTAAGTATGAATAAAATATAAAATAACTAAGAAAAGAAAGAAATCGAAATATCAATTCGTATCTCAAAACAATCTATGGAAAGGAGGTAAATCCTAAATTTTTTTAATGAGTTCTGCATATAGTATGTCTCTACTGCATTATACAGTATGGGCAACCACGGCTTGCTTTAGAACAAGGAAAGTATTTGAAGTATTTGACAGTATGTATACATACACACACACACACACACACACACACACACACAAAGTATTTGATATTTTATGTATATATATATGTGTATATATATATATATATATGTGTATATATATATATATACACACACACATATAAAACAACAATCAAATTCTTTCCTTGTTCTAACATTTTTTCCCACTATTTGTCAAAAATTCCACATCTTCTGTTCTGTCACTTGTCCTTCTTGTGAAAATAAAATTTGTTTTTAAATGAGCATTATAAAGGATATTGTGTATATAGGTTCATGTACAGTTTCTCATCTGCTAGAATATTTGTTTCAGGTGAGCTACTAGGCATCCGTATCACATGAAGACAAACTAAACTTGCACCCTTGCTTTTCCTATTTACACCAGCCTGTAGTCAGCTTCACAAGTGTTTGTTCCTTTGTTTGTTAAAGACTTACAGGGGTAGTTGTTTAATTAAATTAATAATCACCATCATAAACAAATGGTTATGTGCAGCTTATAACTTAACCTCTCAAGAGAAAGATCACTCTTAACAATTTGCCTAAGTCTAATTCAGATGAGGCAGCAGTTCTTAACTCAAAGTAAGATTCCTGAATTGAGGATGCAAATAAAAATTCCACCTCTAGTTTTCTATGTGCATCCAGTGCCTAAATCAGGTGTCAAATCTCATGTAAAGGGGAACAATTTGTCAATATTCAGTGCTAAGTCATCAAGCTATATAACTTCAGAAACCGAAAAACATTCACATCCCTCTTGCAACTACTTCCACCTAACAAACACTGCTTTAGCTGTTATTACTCCCCAGGACAAATCCTTTGAGCCAGAAAGGCACAGAAAAAAATCTGAACACATTTTCCAGCTTCCTATTTCCCCATTTTCTAATATGCATTTAATTAATTAGAAAATGTTGTCATAGGTTTATGGATTCTGTTTCTTTAATTCTCTTAAAGATTTCAAGTCTTTTTTCATACAACAGCTGCATAAAGTTATAAAATCATAACGAAACAAAAGAAAATCTCTTGGTCCTCTATGTGATATTGTCAGAGGCAAAATGTCAAGTAGAATATAATTGGCTGATGGGGGATTCTGCAATGGGTTAAACCACATGAAAACTGGGGAAATTAATCCAAGTCAATTCCTTAAAAATCCCTTCAGTCACCAATAACTAAAGCGGAAAGTGAAATACTATCAAAATCAATTCTTTGACCTTTTTTAGAAACTAACCACAAATATTTAGATATAATTCTCTGATATGCGTGCATATATTCTTTATAGCAAACCTACATCCAATTTCCTTAGTAAAAATAGTTCTTAGATAATTTTTGTTAAAAAGGTAATTCCAAGGTTTCTTTATTTGAGTTTTAAAATTTACCTAAATTGGCCCAATTGGGCAGCAGGGAACACAAAATAGAAGAGAAAAATGTCAGGTGATTCTGGCTATCCTTAGAGAAACAATGTCATGAAGGACTCCAGAGAGAGGGTCTAGTATGTCAGCTGCGGAACATCTCCCTATAATAAGGTAATGCTGTTAAGGTTTCAGGAGGACGTAGCAAAGATCCTGGCTATTCTGTGGGGTGATAAGTGTGGGAGGACAGTCCTCATTCTTCTGGAATTGATAACCATATTGAACTAGTAGGCCACAAAGTCAAGTTCAGAAAAAGGAAATATGCTCACTTTCTCTACAAACACTACCATATGGGACTTCCCACCATCCAGGTGGGGGCTCTTGGAGCAATTTACTTTATATATCCCAGCAGTTTTTCATAACATGCATGTACCTCAATAATCATTGCTATTTATTTTTCCAAAACTTTGAAGCTTATCTCCCATCTGCACAAAATTATGCATATGGCTGAAAATCTCCTATTAAATGCTTTCAAAAATGTGTTTTCACTATTACACATTAGGTCAGTGCAAAAGCATTCCAGGGAGGAAAAAGTGATTCTCCCTAATACTCACATTATGCTCCTTTAAGGAATTACTTCCTTTAATAGTCTATGACGTATTTGATATGAAAACCTTGCCATACAGTCGCTCAGATTGCAGAGGCTGAAATTCTGGCTTTAAATGAAACATTTAAGAGGAAATTTACAGCCCTATTTAAATGCCTTATAATAATATTTTCGGACTAATAAACACTACTACTTGATCCCAGAAACAATACCGAAAAAGCTGACATTAAAAACCCTCAACTTTACAAGAACACACTGCCAGCTTCCTCATAAGAGGAAGCACAGTAGCAATTTTCTCCCTTCAGAACTTAATCAAAAGTTTCCTTTAAAAAGTAGGTAAATCTCACCATCATCACATCACCCCCCAAAAAATAATCCAATTACCATAACACATTCATAAACCACTAAAGCCTAACCAAATAAAACAACTGGAACCACCAGAAAACAAGTCATAAATTTCCTAAAGAAAAATAAAACACGAACTTTTAATCCATTAATCTATTGGTGAATAGATTCTAAGAAAGCACACAGAAACAGGTCCAAAATGCATTTAATAAAACACAAGGTACTACCCAAAGCAACCATAACTATTTGTGTCTACTTACAGCCTGTATAGCTTCACAGTCCCAAGAAACAGCAACTCAGGAAACAGCTGAAGGTGATTTCTGTTTAAACGCCTTTTGAGAAAACAAAAACAAAGCTTATGTTACACAGAAAATACCCAACAATGAGACTGTGATTTGGTAGTGTCATGCCTCATCCTGTATTTCAGAAAAGAATGAAATGACATTCAAGAGAATTCAAGCATTGCAAATCTAAAGTTGGTTACACCTTTTGTTACATGACTCTTTAAAGCAGTTTTCCATTGTGCTTTACTAAGATGATGATTACTGGGGTCTAAACTCTAAACGCAAATCCTGTGCAACATCAGTCAACCAGAATATACACAATGATAAAGGATTTTTGTACTCAGTCTTAGGCGCCTAAAGTAGGTGACTTCAATATTCAGCAGAAATATCACAGCAAATGGTGTCTAAAATAATTCATACACAGTCCCAATTTGTCTGAAATTTCAGCCAAGGAATTGTGGAGAGATGAAAATTTCAATTTTGTTAGCTTTTCATTTAGTTGGGAGAAAGAAAAAAAAAAAGATGAGGCACATTGTAGGCACTATTTGTCCCATAGGCAAAATCAGGAGGAATACCAACCCAGAGTTCAAACCTCAACCCACAGCTTCCAACCCTTAACTGAATTTAAGGTTCAGCATTATAACTAATAGTGGTGTCAAATCTGTTTAAGTAATGTTTTAAAATGTGTATGTAAATTGGAATGTTTTAAATGTTTTAGAAAACAGTGTGATTGCAACTCTAACTCAATTTAATTCCTGATGCTTCTAAGTTTTTCTGGGCTACGCACACCTATTAAAGAAAAAGTGGGCAAACACTATCTCTGATGTGGTCATATCCCAGTCCCATCTGTTTTAACTGTACAATTTAATAATTGATTTAAAATAACTGTCTATTTCTCTGCTTTTCCCAAATCTAAATAAAATTATAAAGAGCTGATGTAACATTTTACACTCAAATGACTTACAAGCTGCCTAGCTTGAGAGGAGTATACATATATAGTATAGTTTCTGGATATAGTTCCAGAAACTAATGTCCCACTGAGGAAACCAGAGATATTTCTTAAGTTCTAAAAGGGACAGGAAAAGAGGGCATATCAATCTTGACATATTGAAAAGGTCATTGGGTAGATGCAAAATTACACTTATTTAGTCTCCAGAGGGCTGAAATGGGCCCCAGGTTGGTTAACTCCTAAGAAATTTGATTATACAGAAGACCTTTCTAAGAATTAGTGATTAAGAAACGGAAACTCTCAACTCCTTATCTCAGAATGTATTCAAGCAGAGGCTATGATTTTTTTTTTTGAAGATTATGTAATTTTAAAAAATCCTGTTTGTAAGTGAGAAGCTAGATCAGGTAAACTTCAGAATTTCTTTCAATTCTAAAAATTGCCATGAAGCAGTGATGGCACCATAACTTTCTTTATATGAACTCAGAAAGAAGTTGGTCATTTACGGGAGCATTCTCGGCACTTAGAAAATGTATACTAATTGTGCCAATACAATTAGGGGCGAATAGTAAAATTAGTGGCAAAAAAGTGAATTTACTTCCCACTTGTATTAATTTTTTGAATGGAGCACATAACAAGGTTAAATTTAAAGTCAAATCAAAAGCTTTTATTTGCTTTTATTTATTTGTTCTGTGCTAGGTATGATTCTGAAGAAGGCCTACTTCCAGAGTCGAGCATTATACAATTTCAATGAAATATTGGTTGTTACTTTGTTATATTTGCCTCTAAAAATAGATTACAAAATATTTGTAACAGTGGTAATGAGAATTTTTTCTAGGAACCAACCACTCTTGAAAGGACCTCCATTGTCCAAAAAGCCAATTCTAATTTCTAAAACAACAGAAATGAGCTCTCATGATGTGATCCAAACCACCAGATTCACCAGCCTCATTTGTTATTCTCTAGCCACAGCAAGTATTCTCTGCAAGCCCCTTGGCCCTGCAAAGGCAGTTCTCTTTATGGAGTACTTCTCCTTTTCTCCAAATGGTGCTTTCTTACATTCTCTGTGGACCTTCCCCTGATTCTCCTACAAAAAGTTAGTGCTTCTCTTGGCTGTGTCCCCATAGTATTTGATAAGTAAGCGTCCCTTACACTGTGTAATATTTATTCATGTACTGGTCTCTTTCCCACCAGACTGTGAGCTCTTCAAGCATAAAGACTAAATCTTTGTATTCCCTCCCTTCTTCCCTGGCACTTAGTAAGTTTTGAACCATATGAAAAGCCAAAGAGAGCAGCTTGCTCTCAGTCAACATTTCCTAATCTCTGGCACTTAGTAGGTTCTTAGGAAATGCTGAATGGGAACAGATTGCTCTCTTAGTATTTTGATATATTTCAGCAGGCCCTAGCATTTACATTTTTTGTTAAACCAACATTCCTCTGGCACACTCCCTAAGGCACCTGCCTTGGGTTTGATGCCACTCTACGGCTGTCAAACCTGCTTTCACATGCCCCAGACGGGAGTTTCCTCCTTTTCATTCCATCAAC